AATGCTCCTTTTGTTCGTCTACCAGCGTTTAAATTTGACCCGCACACGTCAACGGTGAGTGACAAATGAGCCTTGGTCTTCCCAGGGAAGACTTCCTTATATAGCGCGCCTTCGTGTTTAACGTAAATTGTTACTCTCATTTCATACCTACTTCACATCTCACATCCCCCACTTCACGTCCACACCTCACGTCTCACACCTCTTACTTCACATTCACACCTCTGAAGTTACTGAAGTCGAATCACCTTTGTCCTTGTTATCTACACCCGACTTGTACACGTAAGTTCTGCTATCATTTCATCAACCAAAGGCTAATCTGTGATGTCTTTGCAACACACTTCACTTTTCAGATATCGATGAATGCGACCCTTCTAATTCACGTCATCGCTGCAGTCATATCTGTACAAATAAACCAGGAGGTTATCAGTGCTCGTGTGTAAAGGGATTTGAATTAGCCAAGAATGGTTATGATTGTGAAGGTATCTAACACAACTTAGTGAATGAATTAAACAACTGTTTGATTGTTATTTACTTTTCTTTCCTTTCTTTGTTTCTGATTGTTATTTATGCTTTTCTAATCAGATATCAACGAGTGTCTTGACGTTGACTCGTTCAATTGCACAGATGAATTTCACAAATGTGTTAACACTCGGGGCTCTTACAAGTGTGAATGTGAACAAGACTTATATTTTATCAATGGAAAATGCAGAGGTAATAACAAATGCGTGAATGTGTCTTTTTGTAACTTAATTCAGGATCAGGATCCAAACATGAATTGAGAACTGGAGGAAATCGTAATTGAGAGGATGAAATTTCATTCCAATCTTTTCGACATTGTTTCTGTTGTTTAAATTTCCTAACTTTGGCCTCGGATAGTTTGCTCATGAATATGATGAGATGAAGCTATCAAAACCGCACTTTGTGCGAGGGCCACGGAACCAGTCATAATTTGTCGCCTGAAGGAGTGAGGTGGAGAATTTCGGAATTACATGGTTTTCAGAGGGAACAAAGGGAGGATCAGTTACCACTTTACCGTATAAACGGGGATCGCCAATTAACTGCCAATTAGGAAGGGTAGGGGATCTTAAAATTCCCCCTCCCCCCTTGGACAAACGTAATTAAAATAGTAATGTGTCAGCTAAATTTGGCACATATTATGTTCACTAATAATAATATAGTTTTTTCTGGTGGTTGATATTTGTAAGTCAGATGTTACCCATTGTTTTCTTGCTAGCTCTGGAAAAAAATGAGACAGTACCTGAGCCAGAGTTACCAAAACCCCGTGAACCATCAAACAAGGAAAAAAAGGAAGCTGTCCAGTTCTCGATTGAACCTACAAATGAGGTAAGCACAATTATGATTCCTCTTATGATTCCTTTTTTTGGAGAATTAATTTCATACAATCGTGGTAATGAGGAACCTGATGAAGTCACCCTACCAAGAGACAGTGAGCATGATAATCATTATTTTTTGCCGGGGGTAGAAAAAGAAAAAGACTCTAAAACCCCCAACCTC